CTTGCCATCCCAGCTTCACCCGAGGGGTCGCTCCAGAAAAGCTGCAGGTCACCTGCATCCTCCCTCCCTCCCTCCCCCAGGCTGCCCTGGGTGCTACGGGTCCAGGCCCAGGAGGATGGGAATTGAGGTCCAGCCTTGCCGCAGCTCTGAGGAGCCCGAGGTCTGTGCAAGGAATCTGGCAGCCGACGTCAGCCGGCGGCCCAGCGAATTCCCTCCCAGCTAGGCAGGAAGTGACCGGTTCTCCCGGGTGGGGCCTCCTCTCTGGGGCTCTCCCCGGTTTTTCATCTCTGGGGTTTAATTGCTTTAATCGCTGCTGTAATTGCTGGTCCTGCATTTCTTTTAATTGCCGGCTTTTTCTTCTGCCTGGGACGGTGGTGACTCTGGCCTATTTTCTGTCAGGCGTCTCCGAACCCAAAGACCGGCAGGGCCTCAGGGGCGCAGGGCTGGCCTCGGTCTCCAGCCACCAGGGGACTGGGCCGAGGGTGGCAGGAGGTGGCCCATCCCCAGTCCGGGGAGGCTCCAAGTCTGGGCCTCTGGGGGAGGGTGAGCCCAAGTGAAGGCATCCACGGGGGGCAGCTGGATCCTGGAGAGGCTCATCGTAGACCCTGGGCCTGCAAGAGATGTCCCGGGGGGGTCTTGGGACGGTCCACACCCCCGTCTCAGTCTCCCAGAAAGAAGCACCTCCGCAGCAGAGGCTCAGCTGGGAAAGAGGCCCCTCTGGGGGAGGAATGGGGGGGGGGTTCTGCAGCTGGGCCGCCCAATGGCCGCCCAGGAGCCCCTTGCGCAACCCTTCAATGGGCTCCTCCTGGGTGTCTTGGCCACAGGTGGCCTCCAGATCCGGAGCCTCCTGGGCTGCTGCTCCTGCCTGCCTTTCTCTGCCGCTTGGCTGCTTCTGTAGCAGGACAACCTCCCAGGAGGAAAGCGAAGGTAGGGCAGGGCTGAGACTTGCAGGGACTGTCCAAGGGGGAAGGGCCAGAAGGGGGCAGGGCGGGCTGGGCATCCAGTCTAAACTTCAGCACTCAGAACAGGGGAGCCCGCAGGGAACCGTCCGAGACCAGGGTGGCTGCAGTGACATACACCTGTTAGTCACACTGTGGCAGCCCTTTTGACCACACCCTGTGGAGACCCTCCCTCATACCTGCACCTTTGCTGGATATCTGACCTGATGAAACAAGCTGCCCTCAGTCCCTTGCCGGCAAGGTGGGTGGCATATAAAATTAGTTAAATTAGTTTCAATTAACCTTAATAACCTTTATCGTATACTAATTAAATTAAATTTTATATTTATTATAAATTAGATTAATTTAATATAAAATTAAATGCAATATGGTGGGTTTCTCTTGAGTCCTTGGCATTGCTAAGTGCTGAAAATGAAAGTGAAATGTATCCCTTTGAAAGTGTGCCTGTCCTCTGGGGCAGGCAGAGAGACTGGGCACCTTCGCCGCCGCCGCCCCCCCCCCCCCCCCAAGGGCCCCCCCGCCCCCCCCCGCCCCCCCCCCCCCGGCCGCCCGGCCGGGGCGGGCCCCGCGGTGGCCCCCCCCCCCGCCCCGCGGAGCTCCAGGTAGGACAGAGGCGGCTGGTCGCCCCGGAGGCAAGCGGGCTGCGGGGCTGGCAGGAGATGCTGGCCGGGGCAGCAGAGCAGAGGGGAAGGCGGCGGGCGGGCGGGCGGGCGGGACTGGCCAGGAAGCCGCCTGGCAGCCTCTCCGCTCCAGCCGGGACGGCGAAGGGCAGCGGCTGGGACAGCGCCTCCCTGCCATCCCGGCCGCCCCCACCCCACCCAGCCGGAGCCGGCGGGCAGAAGCGGCGCAGCAGCCGCTGCCGGGCTTCGCGGGTTCAGCCCGGATTGGGCTACAGCTCGGGGGGGGGGGGGGGGCGCCGCCGTTGCGCCTGCAGGGCACTCTTCGCACCGGGCCGCTTCTTGAGCGCAGGTGGTGATGAAGGCACTAGAGGAGGCCGGGAAGACCCCCGACGGGCCCTCCTGGGTGGGGTGGGGGCCCTTCCCAGCGCAGCCCCCTCCCAGCAAGCGCTGCCTCGTGCTCGGCACTGCCAGGGCCACGGAGGGCTTGGCGGTGCAGAGGGAGCTGCTGCTGCCGTTCAGCCCCTTTCCTTGGGGCGCCTTCCCCTCCCCACCGCCCGTCCTCTCTGCCCACATGGCCAGAGCTTCTGCGGCTGCCCAGAGGGCGCTTGGGGGGCAGCCCTGCAGGAACAGCCCTCCCTCAGAGCGGGGGGGGGGGGCTGCCTCCCAGGCAACAGGGGGGCAATGTGGGGCAGACTCACCGTTTCAGCCTCCTCTCCCTCGTTGAGCAGGGCCCGGTGGCCCCCGCCATGCTTCTCCTCCATGGTCCCGGTGGGTCTCTGGAGGCTTCCCAACAGCCCTTCCTGGGCCGGCAGGGATGGAGCAGCTTATATACCAGGCTGACCTGGAGGGCCACACCTTCCCCCTGCTAGGCTCCTGCTGCCAAGGGACAGCTCCTCCCTGGAGCTCCAGGTGGAAACACCTTTCCTAGCCCTCCTTTCCCTGGGCTCCTCCTGATGGGGCCACTCCAGAGAGCAGCGGTTCCAGGCAGGTTCCAGGCCTGGCAGGGGGAGGGGAGGGGCTCCCTGCAGAGATTAGGAGATGTATGGGGGGGCCACTGGTTGTGGGAGAGGCACCACTTGGGTCAGAGGAGGCCTGGAGGTGCTTCCTCGCCTCCTTCCTTTTCGTGCCCCGGCGAGGGCCCCCCCCCAAATCCTTCCCTCTTCTGCTTTGCATCCTGGCAGGGCAGAGGAAAGTCTGTGGCGCTCTGGCCTCTGGTTCACGGCAAAACAAACGTTTGTTTTCTGAACTGAAAAGGCTGAGCTATTTTCTGGCTCTTTGGAACTCACTGGGGCCTTTTTCAGAGAAACTCCACCTCAAATGGAGCCGGGCCCCCGGGACACCACAGGAAGGTCCCCGGAAAGCTGGAGTTGCTGCAACCAGGAGCTCCTTTCCCCAAGAACCAGGCAGGCATGAGCCCCTCTCCCTCCAGATGCTCGGCCGATGGCTGCGGGGGGGTTGTAAGCAGGTGGAGGGAAGAGAGGACCCGGCCATCCCCAACCGTGGCTCTCGGCCTGCCACCCTAGTGAGTCAAGGCCACTGCTGACAGCTGCGCTGCCCAGACTCAGTGCTGTTTCTCCTCGGTCTTCTTCGTGGAGCCACTCCTTTCAACATTCAAACATCCATTTTAACAACCACTCCTCCTGGTTAGGTAGAGGAAGCCACCCAGGGATGAGGCCTCCTGCAGCTGTGACTAACACTGGAGGCTCTCCTTAAAGAGGGGGGGGCACGTCACAGATGAAGCAAAACAGCCGATCCTGGGCTTTTCTGGGGGTTCAGCTTCTCCCTCTGCAGAGCAGGAAACTAGGAAGGGGGGCAGAGGCTTTGGAATCCCAATCCCAGGGAACAATCAACCCCTGGAACAGAAGTTGCCCTCAGAAGTTGTGGGAGCTTCATCCCTGGAGGCTTTCAAGAAGAGGCTGGACTGCCCTCTGTCAGGAATGGTGTAGGGTCTCCTGCTTGGGCGGGGGGTTGGACTAGATGACCTACAGAGTCCCTTCCAAGTCTGATTATCTGTTATCTCTTATCTGTTAAATGCAGAATTACCAATATAGCAGGGGAGGGGGTGTTTACTATTTGTGGGCGCCATAAATGCGAAGAATCAACCAGTGGAACAGAAGTTGCCTTCAGGAGTTGTGGATGCTCTGTCACTGGAGTTTTTCAAGAACAGACTGTCAGAAATGGTGTAAGGTCTCCCGCTTGGGCAAGGGGGTTGCACTAGATGACCTCCAAGGTCCCTTCCAGCTCTGTTATTCTAAGTCAAGTCAAGATGCTCGGACCTCAGGTGGTACACATCACAGAAAAAAGAAAAACAACAAACACGATCCACGGAACCAAAGTAAAAGAAGTGTCAGTGCCCCATCCACCATGGATGCAAAGATCTGCCGGGCCAAATTATCTTCATATCCCTTCGAGATAAGACGGGAGTTGGGAGAAAAAGGCCCCTTGGCATCTTCTGCCTCCAAGAGGCCTTTCATTCCGGGAGGGAGGGAGGGAGGGAATGATCACAGCCCCAGAAGCAACTGGATTTCCAAGGGGAGAAGAAAGAAGCCAAATGGACATTGCCTCCAGGAGTTGTGGGTGGAGGATTTTAAGGATGTGGGAAAGCCATTTGTCTGAAGTGGTACAGGATCTCCTGCTTCAGCACGGGGTTGGACTAGAAGACCTCCAAGGCCCCTTCTGTTCATTTAGAGTGCAAATACAAGGCCAGGGGCAAAACAGAAGGGGCACAAGACTTCGGACCAACTATTTACAGGTGGATCCGCTTTTCAGGTGGGATGGAGGTCCAGATGCCATGGGGGGGGGCACAGGTGTTTCAGAGGCTGCCCTCTGTGGGGCTGGCAGAGAAAGCGCCCCCAGTGCCCTGCTGCCTTTCTGGCTCCGCAGTCGGTGGTGCTTTGCCCTCAAAAGAGGGAGGCAGTGGGGGCCTTGGGGGCAAACAGGCCTGAGCGGCCCCCTTGCCAACTTTTCCCCCTCGTGTCTTGAGTGGCTGAATTGGGCTCTTGGGTGCCGCTGAACGGATAAAAGCAGCAGACCGGCTGGGAGGGAGGAGCTGGGCTTGGCAGGAGATTCTGGGAGTTGGAGTCCGCCCATCTCAGAGTTGCAGAGCTTGAGAAAGGCCGATCTGCGGTCTAGGGCTGCCCGGGCAGGAGCGTCGCGGGGACACCGAGGAAGATCCATTGAGGAGCCCGTCTCCGTCCAGGCAGCGCCGGAGCCTCCCGGGCAGCGACCGAGGGCGGCGGGAGCGAACAAGGGACCCGAGACCGAGCGGGAGCGGCTTAGCGCGACCCCTCTTGAACTTTCGTGAGTCTACGACGCAGGGCGTACGCCCAATCGCGTCCCCGCCCGGAACCTGGCGCGCAGGCGCAGCGCTTCGGCGGACGCTCGGCCGGCGGGCCGGAAGCGGAAGCGGTTGAAGGGCGAGGAGGCGGCGGCGGCGGCGAAGGACCGGCTGGGCCGGGCGGCGAAGGATGTGGAGGGCCCGCGCGGCGGCGGCGGCTGCCTGGTCAGTGCGGGGCGCCTCCACAGACCCGGGGCCGCGATGCCCGGTGGCCGACGGGGCTGTGGGGCCCGGGGCGGGGCGGTGGTTGGCGGGACCGGGATCCGCGTTGCTCCCGGGCGCAGCTCTCCCTCCGGCGGCCAGACTCGCCTGGCTCGGCCCGGAGCGGGGAGTCAGCCGAGGCGCCTCCCGAGGCTGCCTGTCCCGGATCCCCTCCCCGCGGTGTTCCCGCGTGGAAGATCCGAGGCCGGGGCCGCGTCTCCCGCCCGCCCGTTCCTGGCGCTGCCCCTCCCCGCCTTCCAGCTGGGGATTGCCAAGATACCGGGGGAGGGAGGGGAGGAAAGCTCTGCGGGCCGCCGGTCTGTCCCCGTTGTAGGAAGGGAGCGGTGATACCCGCGGGAACCGAGGCCCCCAAAGGCCGCCTCCCTCCCTCGGAACTGGAGAAGCTCCTTGGATGGGAAGGGAAACGTTTTCCAGGGAAACCAAAAAAAAAAATCCCCAGGAAGCCTTTTGGAAGAAGTTCCTTTCCGACCCCCGGGGCCCCGGGGGGGGGAGGGGAACCCCCCCCCCCCCCATGGACCCCAGGGGAAGAGGAGGAGCATCTCCCTCCAAGAAGGGAGCCGGGTCTGCTGTTCACCTCCATCCTCCGAGGCCCCAGAGGGGGTCCCAAGGGCGCTTCTCCCAAAAGGAATCTGGGCTTTCTTGGTGTGTTTTTCCCTTGGGAGCATTTCGCTTCTCATCCTGAACTGAAGAAGCTCCTTGGACGAGAAGCAAAAGGTTTTCAAGGGGGGGGGGGGGGGGGGGAGAAACGAAAGTCCAGTTGCCTCTTGGAAAAAGCGCCTTTGGGGCAACCAGGACCTAGAGGAGGGAGCGCCTCCCAGAGACACCAGGAGAATCTCCCTCCAAGGGATATGGATCCCGTGGGAAACCCAGAGAAGGTCTGATGTTGTGGCTCTAAGGCCCCAGGAGGCCAGGAGTTGAGACTAGCACTCCTCCGAATGTTGGAGCCTCTTGGCTCTTGGTAATAGCAAAGCCCATTTAAGATGCCACTCTCCTTTTTGGATTCATTATTTAGAAGCTTAATGTGCAATCTTATGCAAGGAAATTCTATTCAATAAAAACAAATTAAAACTGACCAAACCCAGAAGAGCGGGTGCCTATATTAAATTGAATTAATATTACTACTACTAGTACGGTAATAACAACCCCCTATAGCCCCAACCACAGCACTGCAACAGGCACTAAACTTTTCTTACTCTTACATTTGCTGGCCTCCCTTCTAGCCTAGCCCAAGATCTTCACAGCAATTTTGAAAGCTAAACAGAGAGGGGATCCAAATGTGGAATGCATAATTCCGTCCCCAAAGGTGCTTTTTAAAAGGCAACTGAAAGCACCTTTGGGACAATCACGACCTGGATGACTGAGAATCTCCATAGACCCAGAGGGATCCATGCTGTGGAAAGCTAGGGCCTAAAGACTGAATCGCTAGGAAATAATGTGTTCTTTTATTCACCAATGATTTAGGAGAGGTACCATTTGCATGCAAGCAAATATTCTCCAGGGGGCCCACAGTCCCTATGGTTGTGTTGGTTGTGATCGTTTTGTGAGACCTCTAACCACAAACCTCTGCCCCCCAAAAGCAAGCAGAGAATGGTTGCAGCACAGATTTGATGTTTTTTTTTAAGTCAGTGACTGTTCCAGGCTGCCTGCAGCTATTTTTCAAGCCTGCCTCAAAGTGCACCACAGAATCCTCCGCTGAAGGTTGCCCACAGCCTCCTGGGAAATAGCGGTTGATGGTGGGGGTGGTTGGGGCAGGGGGGGGGGGGTTAACTGCAAAAACTCCACGTGAAATGTTCCCAGTCAGTGACTTTGAACTGCTGGTACTCACGACTCTGAGAATCCTGCGCGAATAATCCAGAATCCGTGTTTCCTTCCCTCTAGCGCTGCCTGTCAGGACCTGGCCAATGGGACCCCCAGAGCGAGAGGGAAGCTGCCGCTGCAGAAGCTGCATTTTATCTCACAAAAAACTCATCATTCCGGGGCCCCCATGTCCAGGTTACCAAGGCTTCGGTCACGGACCTCGGCCCAGCAGTACTCCACCCTCGGTCGCCTTCCCTTGCGCAACTCCAGGCTGCTGCTTGTAAAGTTCGGCCTCCAGCCCTCCAGGAACTTCTGGCTCGCCCGGGTGGCCTCCAGGCTGCTGCGGCTGCGCTACCTCGTGCTGGGCTCTGCGGTGGGGGGTGGCTACACGGCCCAAAAGGTACTGGCTCCCTGCCCTCGAGGGCGGCTTGGGGTTGAAACGCAGGTAGTCCTGGAAGGGGGAGGGGGAGTGGGCAGAACATGGTTCTCTCAGTTCAGCAGGACGTTTTAGATTTGTTCGTCGGCTGGGGCTGAAGCATCCACTTCATTGGATTGTCCTTTACAAACAGAAGGACTCTAAGCATTAAACCTTTATCGCTTCAAGAACAGCGTTTCTTCCCTAACGAGTTGAACGTAGTTGAACACAGGCAGTCCCCGACTTACAACAGTTTGTTTAGTGACCATTCAAGGTTACAGCGGCACTGAAAAAAGTGACTGATGACCGTTTTTCACAGCTATGGCCTTTGCGGCATCCTCATGGTCACGTGATCAAAATTCAGGCGCTTGGCACCTGGTTCATATGACGGTCACAGTCTCCCGGGGGGGGTGTGTCACCTGATCCAACCTTCTGACCAGGAAGGTCAGAAAAGGGGAAGCCGGATTCACTTTACGACCAGGTTACTAATTTATCCTCTGCAGTGATTCACTTAACAACTGTGGCAAGAAAGGTTGTAAAATGGGGCAAAGCTCACTTAACAATGGAAATTTTGGGCTCAATTGTGGTTGTAAATTGAGGATTATATGTATAAATAAATCATTTCCTCTCATTAAAAAAAAAATCCTCACCAGTTTAAGTCAAATTGTGAACCTCAGTCTCTATTTGGCAGCTCTTTCTTCTGATATGCCTATAGTGAAAGTCCCACCTTGTTACTGGGTCAGTGGCAATTTTTCTCTCTCCGGATACCTTTAATTCACAAGTTTGCAGTGTGAAATAAATTCCTCCTAGATCTTGCTGAAGTTGGTTTGGGTTTTCCTTCCTGCCTGTAAGATCCGTGGCAAAATGAACACTTTTTAGAGCAAGCTGCAGCAAACGCTTGTCTTCCTTGATGGGCACGTGGCATTTTTAAACAATCGTTCGTTTTTCATAAAATGAAAAGCAATACTAGATTATCTCTCGGGTCCATTCCAGTCCCACAGTTCCTTGTCCTGACTTCTATATGAATCTGTGCAAATATTATATTCCCCCACCCCTCAGTCTTCTGTTCTCAGGGCTAAACACATCTGGGTCCTTTAATCTCTCTCTCAGAACTTAATTGGCAAGCATTGCTTGTAAAGTGATATTTTTTTTATCACCGTTGTGTATTTGCAAATGGTCGCTGACCCAGGTAGTTTGCTAAACAAGGAGGGGCTGTGTGAATACCCTCTAAGATGTCCCTGTGTGTTTGATTTTCTAAGTGGTGGGTTTTTCTGCTGTCTCTGTTAAATTTCATCCTGTTAAAGACACGTTAAGCCTGGCGTATCCTAAGCTCCTTAGGGATGCCCTTACAGCTATAATAAGCATTTACCCAGCTCTCAATGGCTGCTGTAATTAGGTTTAATGCAGTTCTGAAGCCTGCCAGGTGGAGTCAGGTGGCCAAACGGCAGCCCACTCCAAACAGCAGCTGGACCCACCCCAGGTCCTCCTCCTGAACCTGAAGCCAGAGCAGAAGCCCCCTCTTGCAGGCCACCCATTGGGAAGGCATCCCAGTTGGGAAAGGGGCCTCTTTCTGTGGAGGTTGCTTCACGCAGGGCAGGTAGTCCTCGCTTAACAGCCACTTAGCAACCATTTGAAATTAACGACAGACCTGCCCAAAATGACGCATGGCCCTGTGGTCACGTGACTATGACTGACCCTTGGGTTTTGTTGGTTTCTGGCAAAAAACGCCCATAGGTTGGATTGATTTGCTTAATGACCACTGCAGAAAAGTCATAAAATCCTCTCCAGTCACGTGAGTGACGTAGGACCATCGTCAATTATGATGGAAATTCTGGATTCCTTTACGGTTGTAAGTCAGGGACTATCTGGATATGAGCTTGACCCTCATCCTGATGTATCAGCCCTTCGTCCAAAACTGAGTTTTGCTTGGTTGTGAGCCACCTGAATTCGCCTCTTGGCAAGACGGGAGGTGCATAACATTTAAAAAATAAAAGCCAACTTTTGCATTTCACCAGCAGCCATTTTCCAGTAGACCGATTGGGCTTCGTAAACTGATTTGTATGGGGGGGGGGATATTTCGTCTTGTGGGTGGCAGTTTGATAGTCAGAAGGCCTCACCTCAGGTGCCGTCCTGCCAGCCCCTTCAGTCTGCCTCTGCCTCTGCCTCTGTGCTGCTGCTGTGCCATCTTTCCAGTCTTGGAGAGGCGTTCAGTGGGTTGAAACTTAAATCAGTGGGTTTATTCACACGTCAGAACTAGCTGATCAGGGCCGGGTTTTCTGGAATACGGGTAAGTCCTCGACTTACAACCCAAAGTGAGCCCAAAATGTCTGTTGTGAAGGGAGACTGAGCTTTGCCCCATTTTTGCAACCTTTCTTGCCACCGTTGTTAAGCAAATTGCTGCAGTTGGTCAGTGACTAACCCGGTCGTTAAGTGAATCCGGCTTCCCCGTTGACTTTGCTTGCCAGAAGGTCACAAAAGGGGATGACATGGACACGGCAGTGGTCATAAGTATGGACCAATTGCCAAGCGCCTGGATTTGGACCATGTGACCATGGGGAGGCTGCAAAGATCGTAACGGTGAAACATGGTCATAAGGCATTTTTTCCCAATGACGTCGTAACTTTGAACTTTGTCAAGACGTTCTGTTTCTGTTATGAATGCCAAAACGTGATGCCCTTTTTCTGGCTTACTCTAGACCTACACCCAATGGAAGGACTCCTTGCCGGACCTGAGTGAATACAAGTGGATCGTTCCTGACTTCCTTTGGGAAATCGACGAGTACATCGACTTCGGTTGGTGCTTCATTCCCCCGTCGCTCCCGGCCAAGTTCTGGCCCAGCCTGATTCCAGGCACTTCTTGTTCACCAAATCCAGCTTTTGGGGTCTTCATGGGTGTTGTGATGGTAACCTGGGGCTCATAGTTATTGCAAACCTTGTTTTCTTCAGGATTTAGTTCTCCTTTTCCGAAGAGTTTGCTTATTGACCTTATGGAGCCCTTGTGACTCTGGGCAGTGTGCACAATTAAAAGGAAGAACCGAACCATCGACATAATTCCCCCATTGCCCTGCTCGCTTTTGGCCCTGTGGCAGTGGAAGCGTGGTAGACAAACGCCCCCGCCCTTTGTATCCTCTTCTGTCTTGTTAGTAACGCACACAAGACACGTAAGCTCCTTTCTTTATGCAGGGAAAGTCTATTTTCTGCTGGCTTTACTCATCTACTTTTCCTGGCTGGAACCCTCCTTCAGAGCCATCAAGGTTTTTGCCTAGTGTGGCTGCACAACCGTTGCGTTCTCTCTCTTTCTGTGGGGATTTTATTTATTACTAAGGAAAGTAATATCCTATTCAACAGGCTGAGTAACTCGGGTATCATTGTCAGCAAACACATAACAGATAAATAAGCCTAAACTAAAGCTACAATTACAGTTACTTTAAAAAAAAATTAAAAACTGGAGCATTAGGGCTTAAAAAAGTAATTCGGTGGATTACTTTCGCTTTTATATTACTGCTTATCGAAGCGTATCTGTATGTCTCAACATTTTACTTTAGGTTCCTTCTTAGCATTTTGTTCTGGTGAAGGCAATAAAACACAAATAACTGAGGGAGGAGGAAACACATCGGAACAGCTGCCACTCCGCTGGGAGCCTGGCTAGATTTTGACTTCATTTTGCTGTAATCTTCTATAAATTTGCTTTTTTTAAATTGTAGGCTGCCTTGCGTACAGGTAGTTCTCGGCTTTCGACCACAATTGGGCCCAGAATTTCGGTTGTTCAGCAGGACGGTCGTTGAGGGAGTTTTGCTCCATTTTACGACCTTCCTTGCCACCGTTGTTCAATGGATCCCTGCAATTGCTAAGTCAGCAGCGCGGTTGTTAAGTGAGTCTGCCTCCCCCACTGACTTGGCTTGCCAGAAGGGGGATCACGTGACCTCCCCCCCCCCCGGGTCGCAGCAACCGTCAAAAACATGAAGCCGCTGCCTGGCGTTTGATCACCTGATCACCAGGAGGCCCCGAACATGGCCGCAAGTCACATTTTTCGGTGCCGTTGTAACTTTGAACAGGTCACTAAATGAATCATTGTAAGTCGAGGACTACCTGTATTTACATTCTTTATCTGTTTATGTATTAAATTGGCCCGCTTCCCGTCTCGCTGTTGGGCCGACTCTCACAGGGGTCATGTGTGACCAAAACGCGATGAGTAAAACATCCCATTTCTGGGGTGGTAATCAGGTTTTGTCAAGCTCCCCCTCCACCCCAAATTCTCACCATTAAAGAGGCGGCCGCTCTTAGCCCCTCTCCTAGGAGCAGAGCCCCGTGGCTGGCAGCGGGATCGGATCCTTCCAGGGCCTCAGCTGCCGCGTTTGCAAGAACTCGGGACCTGCCTGGTTTCAGGGGGTCTTTGGTGGAAAGGCTGGGCGCTTGTCTGCAGCTGGAGGCCAGGCAGCCAGATGCCCCCCCCCTCCCCAGCAGTGACCTTGTGGCAGAGGGCGAGAGTTGCCCTGCCCTCCCATGGGCTGAAGTCTTCCCCGCGTGGGCAGGGGCCGTCCGGAGAACCATGGAGCCGTTTATTCTGGGTCTCCTGGGAGCTCAGGCCTGCCGGTGCTGGTAGACCCCGAGGGTGGAGACCGCAAACAAGGGGGGCTTCTTCACCCCCCGAAGACCCCGTTGGAAGGGAGGGGGAGAGTCAGTCAGAGTTGATAGCGGCACTGCCTGAAAGGCTCTGCAGATGCAGCCAAGGAAACTTGGCTTTGACTCCTTTTCCCGTCTGTTCCTAGAGAGGCTGAAGAAGGCCCTCCCGGATTCCGAAGAGCTGGGCAAGCTCATGCCCGACTTCCACAAGATCAGCGAGACCTTCAGCTCCTTCTCCGGTTTCTTCACACCTGGTAAGGGGGTTGTTTTCTCCCAAAGGGGAGCAAGGAGGAGCTGGGAAGGAAACCCTTGCGCGTTTCTTAGCGTGTCTTTGGATCTGAAACTCTTGGGCGGAGGGGTGAGGCCTGGGCCCCGTAGGCCCCGCGGGAGGCAGCCGGGCCTGCTCTCCCCCTGCAGACAGCCTGACTTCCGAGATCTCCCCCTCCCCCCAGGTCTCTTTAGGCCTAGACAGCCCAGGAAGGGGGTCCCGCCTGGAAGAGGCCACCTGTCCGGGGGAGGTGAGGGTGGGAATAGCAGCAGCACTGAGACTTATAGACCGCTTCACAGTGCTTTTTCAGCCCTCCTCCATTTGGGTCCCCATTTTACCCACCTGGGAAGGACGGAAGACTGAGTCAGTCTCAGGCCGGTCAGGATTGAACTCCCGGCTGTGGGCAGAGTTTGCCTGCAATGCCGCCCTTAACAGTTGTGCCACTTTGGGCTCTTCCGGGTCACAGGCCCGGGGGGTTTCTTTCGTCTGGGAGACCCTGGGAGGGTTGGTTTTTGCTGGGTCCCTGCCACAGTTAATCCCTGGTCTGGCTCTGCCCTGACCTCCTCCTCCTCTTCCAAGAGCTCTGTGTCTGTGGAGGCCGACTCGAGCGCTGGCCTAACAATGCCCGTCAGCAGGTGCTGGGATTCTGGGAAGGGGAGGGCGTGCAGAAGGGAAGGCAGGTGCTGGATTGAGGGAAAGAAAGGCGGCTGCCTCTGCTGGAAATCTTGGGTGCCCTGGCTTTGCAGGCTGGGGGGTTGGCGGGGGGGTGTTTAGGGTTGGGGGGACTGGGACTGAGTGGTGAGAAAGCTCAGGTTTTCGAAGTTTCAAGTTCTGAAACGATGTGGAGAAATTCAGGGCCAGTAGATGAGACCCTCCTATGCACTTCTGATTTTGGAAATTGGACCGGCCCCCTTCCCTTCGTGGCAGTTCATTTATTAACCCCCCCTCCCCCCCTTGTCGATACCTCCTCTTGGTGTGCCATCCCCGAGGAAGTTGTGGTTGTGTCTGTATGGCCCTTGTCGTGGATCCTCCCACGTGGTACTGCCTTTCCTTTGCCATTTGTAAGTGTTTATAATTTTCTTCCCCTCCGTCTGCTGGTTTCTCACAGGTTACAATTTGGTTAATGAAGTCATAGGAGCTTCTGATCTACTCTTGTTAGGTGTGTAAAATGCACTTTTCTTTACTCTCATTTAAATAATCCTCCCTTTTTCAAAAACTGTAATGACAAACTGCTTGCAGGAATCGGAGACCGTTAACGTGGAGTGTTTTGGGTTTGCTCCTGTTTTTAATTCTTAAGACTTGGGGATGCTTAAGAGGGCCAGTCTTGGTTAGCTCCAGTCAGGCTGGTAGAATTGCCTTTCCTCGAGGGTATAAATTGAGTTCCTCAGTTTTAGAAAACAATTTTTAAGAAAAAGTAAAACAAAATCAATGCCTGAAAATTCAGGGCCTTTTGAAAAAAAATATATTTTAATTTGACCCTGGGATAAGTAAAAATGGCCAGTGAAGCAGAAGGGGAAGGTTAGTAAATTTTATACTGACATAATATATAAGATCTCGTGATGAGTCCAGGATGCTCTTTCCTTTCAGATAAACAGAAACAAGCAAAGCAATTTGGGTGAATTTAGTGAAATGTAAATTGCAAGTCTGTGGTTGCTGAAAGCATTTATTTTATAAAAGGTCTTGTTAATCATGGAGAATCTGGGCAGATACTGTATCGTTTAAAATATGTAGATGTTCACTGTTGCCATCTCGAATACTCGATACTTTTCAGATGTGGCTGTAGGTTTACATTACAAACATTGCAGCAATTAGTATTTTGTCATTTCATTATTGGAATATTGAATATCGTGATCAAATTCTTCTGATTTTTAATGAAGGTTAGACCCTCTTAAATCACAATAGAATCATCTTTAACCCCCTTGTTCGCTCACGGAGGGGCTGAAATGATTTCTGACTCTGGGCGCCTGAACCAAAACCCAGCCCTGCACCCCCTCATTTGGCCCCCCCGGATGCCCTGGACCCAGACTTTTGTCAAACTGTGTTTTCCGGTGGTGCCCAGTTTTGTGGCCCCTCCTGTGCTGAGAGTGCACCCCCCTCCCCACTCTGTGGCTGAAGCCGAGGAGCAGTTTGAATTATTCCTGAATCTTCCCTTTGTGGGGTCCCCCCCCCCAACCCGGTGGTTCTGATTCATAGGCTCAGCAGCTGCCGGCGCTGGGAACGGCCCCTCAGGATGTGCTGAAGATCAATTGGTGCTTCAAGTGCAGATTTCCTTTCTCTGCAGCTCAGTGTCCGCCATTTGCCTTTCTTACCCTTTCGGTCCTAGGTGGTCTTAACAGGGTGAACGTTTCAGATCTCTGAAGCCCAGGCCGTCATCCTTCCTCTTACTCATTTTGCTCACGTTCACTTTTTGTTTATTTGGTTTTATTACGTAAACTGAGCCCTGCCTGTCTGTTATGCCAACGTTAAGACAGCCTACAGCAATAGAACCAGAGCACAAAAGCCAATTAAAATCAGAATTCAGATTAGTCCTGATAGTATAATTTAGCCACTGAAAGCTTGCCAAGTTTGGAGGTGCCTGCTTGAAAGGAACCCAGCCTGGCTGGCAAGAGCCTTTTTCCTCTCGGGAGAGGCTGCCCCGGGGATCCAGGAGAGAAGCAACCGGGAACCGAGGAGAAACTTCCTAACAGTGGAACTGCTCGCCACCAGACGTCGTGGCTGCTCCGTCACTGGAGGCTGTTCAGGAGAGCCTGGGCGGCCCCTTGTCTGGGATGGATCAGGGGGCTGGACTAGGAGGCCCACGGGGTCCCTCCAGCTCTGTTCTGATGCTGATGCGCTAAGCTAGCCGTGGGGGCTCTTCAGAAGGGTCTGTGCAGAGACCTGGGGATTTCCAGTTCCTGGACCAAGGCTCTTGTATCCTTGCTCTCGGGAGGCCGTTGTTCCTCCTGCGTAAGTGGGGCGAGTGTTCGGGAGCAGGCCTGCTAATCCAGTCCCATTCCGATAAGGTCAAGCCTCCTTGTTCAAGAATGTGCGAAGGACAATTTCCAGCAATGACTCCGTCCCCAGTGATAGGTCCCAATGTCCCAGGAAAAGCAAAGCAGGAGCCCATCAGCCTGAGAGAGCAGGCAGTGGTGCTGGTCTGGGGGCAGCTCCCTTCGCTCTGGGTCTCCAGGAGGCAACATCCTGTGTGCGTTTGCACTGTCCGGTGCAAGTAACCTGAACCACTGGTGAATGGTACCAAGCAGAAGCTTCATTGCTTGGCTTCCCACGTTACAAGGATCTCTCCAGGCTATCAGTAAGATGAGGCTTCAGGGTTTCTGGGGGAAGTCAGGCCTTGTGCCGCTTTCTGCACTGCAAGGACTCCAGGCTAGGGCCCCTCTTAACACTCCCCCCCCCCAGCCTCCCTGGAGATTCCCCCACATCCACAAAGATCATATAAGCTGCTCCGTATGCTGACAAGTCTCACTCGAGGTTTCAGCCTTTAAAGGCAACCTGTCCTACCTTCCCTTCCATCTGCTTACTAAGCTCATGGACGCAGTTGTTGATAAATGAGATAATAACACATAGAATTACATCCAAATCCAGCCGCTATTTTATCCCTCAGATCTGTAGGGCAGTGGCCCCCAACCTTTCCGGCTCTGGACCACCAGCAGCAGTGGGGAAGGGGATGGCTTCACGCATGTACCTTCCGCTTGCGTGGCCCAGTTCCCAGCGGGCCACGGACCACGGGGTCGGGGGACTCCTGCTGCAGGGCCTTCCAGGAAGAAGGGCTGGCATGCTCATGAGATTCCGGTGGAGAATCTGACCGGCTCCCTCAATGCAGAGGCCGCTGCATTGGTCTTGGATTCCCTCGGCCCTTTGGCCTATAAAACGGCGTGGCGCAGGTGAGCATACCTGATCTACCTGCGGGGAACGGAGTGGAGAAGCCCATTCATTTTGCTTTTTGCCCAGAGAAAGTACTCTAGATAGCTGTAATGTCACCATTACTAAGCACGATATAATTAGGGCTAAATTGCTCCACAAATAGGCAAGACCAGATAAGAGATAACAGAGCCTTTTTCATTGTTTATTTTAATTGCTGCATTATCTCCCAGAAGGGCGATAAGCCTCTGATCCCGTGTTTCCCTTTCCCAGTCTGGACAGTCATTTGTGGTCCAGAAAGTGTTTTATTTCTTTTTAAATTGGTGCTTCCTGGTCTTCCCCAGAGCATTTCCCTTCGGCTGTGCATAGGAGCTGGGAAAGAGGAAAAGCTCATATGCTCATACTCTCACGCTTTAGCTGATCCCAGAATATACGATCCAGCCCCCAGTCCTTACTCTCTCTCGATTCCCAAGCCCAATTCCTTTGTCTCTGGGCAACTTTCACATCAGGGCAGTGGAGGAGCTGGGTGACCTGTGTTTAGGGAGGAAAAAAATAGGGTCTATTGGTATATTTTTATTGGAGAAATGTTTAGCAAAATAAAAGCAATGCCAATATTAGAAAACAAAGGAAATAAATAAAACTAGTGTAAAATTAAGAAAGAAAATAGAAATATTTATGCATCAAATTTGTATGACTACCCATATCCCAAAAAGCAATTCTGGACAATGTACAACAATGCAGACAAATTTATATCTTATAAAACATCACATATATAAAATAAACTGTAAAAAAAAATACGAATCAGTTTTAAAACAAGTATTAAGCAAAATGCACAAACCTCATTGATAGGAAAAAAAATAGAAGTTAAAGAAGCAGCTTCTGTTCTTTTTACACAGGTTATATTTATATTATATTTATATTTTGCTCTAAAATTGCATCATAAGCTCCGTCTTTCGTAAACTACTCTTTCTAATCATCAGATCCATAAATCACAAATTCCTTCCCCCCCCCCCTTTTTTTAAGCAAAAAGTCCATAGGGGGTTCCTAGTCACTAATAAATGTACCAAGTTACTTTTTGCTGTCTTCTCCTTGCCTTTCCATTTCCGTGCCTATAATAGTCTCGTAGCAATAATCCCATATAAAAATAGCCTTCCGTGGCCCTTTTCTAGGCCTCTGTCCATCCATCCCAAGAAGGAAGGCTGTGGTTTCACTGGAATCAAAGTCTTTGGAATCCTTTGTATTGGCATAAGTATTTCAATCCAGAATGTTCTGGCTTTTTAACAAGTCTGCCAGGCATGATAAAATTATGTTTCCCATGTTTCCAGCATAAATTTGAAGTACCTTTATGCACTCTATAGATGGTTTTTCTGGAGTTGTATAGAAAGGAACATTTTAGACTCTTTTAAATCTTCAATACATACGCTGCAGAGATTCAATGGATAACCAGCCTTAAGCACTACAGTACAATCATACAATTAAGAGAAAGACAATTGGAAAAGGGAATCTCGTCTATGGAGATTCTCCCACCGCCCAAGGTCATGGTTGGCCCAAAGCTTTTTTTCGAAAGGCAGCTGGACTTCCTTGGTTTTTCCCTTGAAAACATTTCACGCCTCACCCAGAACTGATGAAGCTTCTTGTTTGAGAAGCAACATGTTTTCAGAGGGGAAAAAACCAAGAAAAGTCCAGAAAAAGTACTTTTGGAAAAAGGAATTTTGTGATAGATCTCACCCTCTTTTTCCATTCAAGCTGCAAGAAACAAAACAATTGCAGGTAAGTAAAATGTGCATTGCTGGCACATTGATAACGCAATAATAGAAGGTCCCTCAGAGGAGAGGAACTTAAGCTTGTAAGTGGGTGTGTGTGTGTGTGTGTGTGTGTGTGCCTACAGTGTATAAAAAAATGCAGCTCTCTTTAGGCTACCTGAAGGATTTCTGGTTCCTTGTTAGTGGACTCTTGGATTTTAAATGGTTTAAATGAGCTGAGAGGCGCCTTGAGCTGGGGAGGGGGCTGGCCTTTCCCTCTCCTTTGGGCCCTTTTCAGTCCCGGCGAGGCCAGGAGGCAAAGCCAGCTCCCCTTGCACCATCCCAGAGAGAGGGTTTCGCCTTTGTCCTTAGAATCAGAGAATCCTAGGGCTGGAAGGGGCCTCAGAGGTCTCCTAGTCCAGCCCCCAGCCCAAGGCCGGAGTCCTTCTGCTGACTGTCCAGGCTTTCCTTGAAAACCTCCAGCAATGGAGCCCCCCCCCCCCCCACTCTGGGAGGCAAGCTAGTCCATTGGCCCATTGCTTCAATTAACCAGGGGAAAAGGGTCTCGATTGCACCCGGAGGCTCTCCCCCCTCCCCACCCCAGTAGCTCTGGTGGGGGTGGGAGGGAGACCCTCCATGGGCAGGAACAGACTTTCTGGGCCTCTGAAATAAACTGCAGCCTCAGGGTAGATTCTGGGGGGCTAATGCAAGTCTGCCTGCCTGCATTTCTCCCCCCTCCCTCCCTCCTCTAGCAAATCCTTTTGTGGTTCTGTCAGCCGCTTTGCAGAGCTAACCTTCCAGATCGGGCCTTCCCGGCTTTCCTCTTGCAGCTTCCTCATCTCCTCCTGCCCTCTGCCCTCCCCAGGAGGATCCCTCTTGGTCTCCACCTCTGCCCCACAGGATCAGGAAGAACTGGAGGTGCTCAGTCACCCAGGTCAAAGGTGCTTTTTCAAGAGGCCCCTGGACTGTTTTTTCCTCAAGGAAGAAGAGGAGGAAGGAGGAAGAGGAGGAGGAGGAGAAGACTCTTCGCTCCTCATCCAAGGAGCTTCGTCAGTTTTGATGGTGGGGAGGCCTTGCATCCCTCACCCCCCTTGCCATCAGAACGGACAGAACTTCTTGGATGAGGAGCGAAACGTTTGAAAAAGCCCCTTGGAGGCCTGTGTGTGGATCAGCCCGATCAGGGGAGTCAGTCCCAAGGGGGCTTCTCCCAAGAGGCAATTGGACTTTCTGGTTTTGCTTTGAAGACGTTTCGCTTCTCATCCAAGAGGCATCTGAAGAGCTGAAGAAGCTTCTTGGATGAGAAGCGAAACGTCTTCAAAGCAAAACCAGAAAGTCCAGTTGCCTCTTGGAAAAAGCACCTTTGGGACAACCAGGACCTGGAGGGCTGAGAGTCTCCATAAGGGAGGTTTGAGGGGAAAGGGTGGTTCAGAAATATAAAATATAAAAGTGAGCGAGTGAATGAATGAATGAAGAAGCGCAATTTCCTCCCTGCCATCTAACCGGAATGGCTTGAGGCCGGTCTGCTCCTTCATGCAAAAAGCCCGCCCTCTACCTTTAAGCTAGCTGGAAAGAGATAAACCGGGCTCGGTTAATACATTTCTAGATTATTAATCTGAGTTTTGCAAGAGCCGCTAATTGTTTTATTATTGCTCTTAAGCAACTGCTCTTTCCACATAATTAGACGAGGGAAATGGATGTCCGCACTGCGACAGCCTTTGTGTAACAGCTACGAACCCAGTTCAGTTCTGATCATATCAAAAACTTGCGGCCTCCCTGGCTGGCCAAAGGTGCCTCTTTCCCAAGTCCCCTTTGGCAGTGCAGCCTCCCCCATTCCGTTCGTTGCTTCAGCAGCCCTTGAACTTGCTCCCATTTTAGTTTGATTTTATTTATTTATTGCACTTATTTGTATGCTGCCCGGCCAACCCTCAAGCGACGCTTCGCGTTGCCCCCGGGCCCGGAAACCGGGTCCGAAAGGCTCCAGGCATTTTAAGGGTCCAGCCAGAGGAGCCTAATCAGGTGGGGTGGCCCCAGACGCCCCCAGCGGCCAGCACTGGCATCTCGGCAGCTCTGCTAGGCCCAGCCTTCTCCTTGGCCTGAGGGGGAATCCAGGGGCAGCCGACGTGGCTGCACTGGAGGGCCCTCAACTACCTGGAGACATTTGCATGAGGGTTTGACCCTCCCCGGGTGCATTTTAAAATGGGGGGGGGTAACAAATAACCCTGGGAGAAGGTCCTGTGGGCGGACTTTTCTTCTACAAGGATGGCCTTTCTCCAAGGAGCTCCCCCACTGCTGCAGAATAGCTCCCCCTCCACACCCCCAGGATTGACCGTCTGGGGAGCAGGGCCCAGGCAGGAACGAAGGAACCAGCCAAGGAGAGCAGACGGGTTCTGAAATGGTGCGGTTTATCTGGTTTCTTCTGCAACGGGCTGCCACGTGACGGGACCCCTTCCTCCCTTTCCCTTCCCAGGTTCTTCAGGGGACTCGGCCTTCAGAGCCACCGACCAGGGAGGCGAGAGTGACAAGCAGCACAAGAAGGTGAGCTGGGAAGGCGCAGAGCCAACTCCGGGGGAGGGAGGGGGGGGGATCTGCAGGCCAGGGCATCCCGGCCACAGGGGCTTTTTCTCAACCAGAGTTGGGTGGCCGAAATGAGCGCTCCCAAATCCAGACACGTCGTCCTGATGAGCCATTGCTAGCCAGGTGACAAAACACCTTTATTTTGCGTAATTTTGGGTTTCCGGAATGTTTTGCTTTGGAATGGGCAGCTAGGTGTGAAAGTGCAATTGAACAAAATAACAATTGTTTGAAATCCTCAGCAGGGGTGAGTTGAAATTGCTCTCCCCACTTTTGCCTGCGTTAGTCAATGACAGGGTGACCCTTGAGGACTAGCAGAGAATCCCAGAGTTAGCCTCCCCCCCCCCCTGTTTCCCTTCGCGCTCTGGGCATTTGGATGGGCAGAGGATGCGGTGGGCGGAGGCCGAGCCGCTGGGCCCTCCGAGGGGTGGCTTGGAAGGAAGGAAGGCCCAAACCCTCGGGGGGGGGGGCTCAGCACGGAGCCTGCGGGAGGAGGGGTGGCATTTGCTCCCCGTGTTCCTACTGCAGGGGGAAGCCCTAAGGGAAGCCCAGAAAAGCCCGGTGGAGGTCAGAGGGAGGGGGGGAAGTATCGGGTATGGTTTGCGCAGCCCCTCCCTCTGGTTCCGGGTGGGGCCCAGCTCTTGGGCTGGCCAGGCCAGGCCAAGGGTCAGTGGGCTAATATTGTGCGTCCACAAAGGAGAATCTTTCCAGCTCAGGGTGGAGACGGGGGCCCCTAGGCGCTCTCTGAGCACGGCTGTCTTCTTGCAGACCTTCCATGACCCCGTTGGGTAACACCATCAGTGCAGAAGAGGGGGGGGGTGCAAGTGAGCACTGACGATGTCCCTCGTTTGGGTCATGAAGCGTCTGCAGGAAGACAGCCAAGCTCAGACAGCTCCCAGGAGCCCTCGGGGTTTTGCACACTGGACACTCAGCAGCAGTCGTGGCCGTTGCGGAGGGTCTGCGGAGACCCCCTCCTCAGCCCAGGAGTGCCCGTTGCTTTGGTGAAGCTCCTGGCCCGAACGGGCTGCTCTCCTTTTGCCTCCCCGTTTTGGGCAAGGAAGGGCAAAGGGAGGCTGTTGCTACCCTCACCCTCCGATCCGATGGTTAGGATGCCGCCTTGTGAGGTCCCATCGGAGACAGGATTCCCCCCCGCCCCCCCCGGCCGTGCAGTAACAGTGCCTGCCGTAGTGCTGGGCAGAGGCTCTGGGCCAGCCTGGCAAGGAAGCTGGTGCCCAACGGATGTACTGGAGAGGGAGGAGGGCACACAGACGCCCTCTCGCCCAGGAGTCTTGGCAGAAGGAGGCCACCCCAGGATTCTGTGGGGTAGCCCCCCTCCCAGCTGA